GTAGACTAGGAGGAGCGAGTCGAACCCGGAGTGTAGAGGTTACGAACTAAACTCGTTGCGTAGCATGTGCTGCTGTGTAGATGCCGTGGGGTGCAGGTGCGCGGATGTAAGTAGAACGATATAGTTGATGGTCAATAAACTCGGCTATAAATGAGTTCATGGAAACGATTGGTAATTTCTGCGATTGTTGTTTTAATCATCCACTAGTCCCAAGCCCCTTCAGTATAATATGAGCACCTCGCGTAGACAGAAACAGATATACGAAACGATATGTATTCCACCAAGTGCGGTTGCTCTGCTGGGGAATAAGATCATTCGAATAACATTCGTTTGGACCAGAATGGGCCGATACACATGTAAGCGAATGGGTTAGCTGTAATGCGGCAAAGTTGTCCTATCTACAGTACTGGATTACCAGGATAAATGTCAGACAGCACCGTTCTAGAATCTTGGCTGATGACAAGCCCTAGTGGGTTGTGTGATAGTAAATTACAGAGCAGCAGATCAGTAGCCAGTAGCTACACAGCTGATCCCATATGATCCATGTGTTGGCCAATAAGACAAGCAAATTTGCATTTCATGTGCCGATCCATCCATGACACCGATATTCCGACCACTGTCACATGTGTTGCTCTGGAGCTCATTAGTCGTTCGCCCATTACTATGTGGTGAACTACACTCCATACTCCGACATTCTGTGCATGTTGATGATTTCCAGAACGACCTCAAGATCATTTCAGCTGCGCAGCATGGGTTTTGTCCTTCGCGTTCATGTGTCACCAATCTTCTGGTAGCTCGAGAAAAGTGGGCTAAATCCATGGATGCTGGTAAGCGGCTAGATGTCGTATTTGTAGATTTTAGTAAAGCTTTTGACAAGGTTCCACACGAAATTTTGCTTAGCAAACTTCGCAGTATTGGTGTTTCAGGAAAACTCCTCTCTTGGCTCACTGATTTCCTGCATGACCGCGCTTTCCGTGTGCAAGTAAATGAGGCCTTTTCCTTCCCTGTAAGTATGACCAGCGGTGTTCCGCAAGGCTCCGTTCTTGGCCCTGAACTTTTTAAAGTCTTTATTAATGATCTGGCATCTGTACTACGGGCAGATTGTTTGATTTATACAGATGATTTAAAGATATGGATGGAAGTCTCCTGTCTAGATGAAGCGGATTTACTACAAACAAGGCTCGATTCGCTGCATGATTGGTCGATCAGGTGTCAATTACCCATAAATCACGATAAATGTTCCGTTCTTCCGGTCGGTGCCTCCGAACCATTTGAAATTTATCATATCGGTGGGTTTTTGCTGCTGAACTCTAATCGTGAGATGGACCTCGGCGTCATTGTGACCCCAGACCTAAAATCGACCGAAGATACCTTGAGGAAAGTCGCTTCTGCCAACAGGTTGTTTTTCGCCATACGACGATCCTTCTCTCGCTTGACTCCGGAGATCTTCAGGCTCCTGTTCACTTCTCATGTACGTCCGATTCTTGAGTATGGACTGCCCGCTGTTTATCCTCTTTCCAAATTTGAATGCAACTTGATTGAAAAAGTTCAGCGGAGAGGATCTAAATCTGTTCTGGAATTACGAAACCTTCCTTACTCGCATCGTCTCCAGTGCTTGAACTTGTTCTCCCTAGCCTACCGTCGAGATCGCGGGGATTTGATTTTCACACAGCGTATCGTTAGAGGGGAACTTGGAGTTGAATTGCAGAATTTCTTTCCACTCAATTCTTTCAGTTCGACTCGGGGTCACCATTGGAAATTGTTTAAACAAAGGAGACTTCGGGTCCGTTGTGATGTCACTCTGTCTACCCGAGTAGTGAACGAATGGAATAATCTACCTGTGTGTGTCGTTGATGCGCAGTCGGAGGAATGTTTCAAACATCAATTGGATTCTTACCTGTTGAGTAAACTCGGATCTTGTTGCTTCTTTTGTCAATGCAGCGGTTCCATTGGAACCGACTTGCAATGTCCACCTTGATCCCTGTGACGAACGGGAGGCGATGGAGCTGACAAAGGATTTTTCCTTCTGCTCTCTACATTCCAATGTTCCAATGTTCCAATGTATTGTTAGAAGCCAGTGGCACCAACAGCTTTGCTACTTCGGCTGTGCGTTTCCAGTAATGTTGCAGATGAACGTTCGTCTCACAGAAAATCACAGTCCATCTTGAGATTAGCTTATTCAATCCTCTTGCACACAGGTAACACTACTAGGCTCAACAGTAAATTTAATGTGCAAGTGATACTTACCACTCTGGGTTGGACCACTGGCAGATGTGCGGCTGCCCCCATACGACTACAAAGGCCGAAGAGCATTTGGCTGGTAGAATTTGGCGTGCAAAACAATACCGAATGAAAAGGCTACCAATGGTAAATCTCACCGACAGCATAGCATCGCAACGTTATATAGACCGTAGTTGACAAGTGGATTTGCAGTCAAAGGTTTTTAATGCAGATCGATCGCTTGTTCTGTCTCCAAGAACTGCGTGGCGGTTTCCCGGGTTTCTGTGTGTACTCTAGATTCAGAATCACCCGGCTCTCATTAAGCACAGCTTAAATGTATTTAACGGTTTCTTGAAACTTACATATTCAACAGTAGTTGGATCTTGACAACCCGAGGGTGAACGGCATCCTCCTCGTCCTCGGTTTCCGATTTCGGCTCACGGCCCACTAGATTTCGTTCCAAGTTTCCTCGTGCCTTGCAGGAGGCCATAGTCTCTACGCATGACTCTCTACAATCAGAAGCAGCATGCGAAAATCCCCGAATTTAGTTGGTTTACATATGACCTATTTGTCGAGGCACCAGTTTTTGCATGTTACTGTAATCCCCGTTGCGTGAGCTATAGGAGCTCTTCTGTACGCTTTCCACCGGATCGCTCTATGCTTGGTGCATAAGTTAGATCAGTTTTGGACCGATCGACCGATCGAAAGAATACAGCACGACTTTTTCAGTAGATTTGCAGCGCTTAACACTTCAACCATATTCCACTCAACAATTAAACAGAGCATTATGCATGGCATAAACAAACCGCCAAGTGTCTCGATGTGTGTTTGTGATTTGTGATAGCTGAGGGTCTTCAGGCCTGCACGACACTAGAGCAACGTGAAAGACTGTTTGCATGGCGTCCGTAGTGTTCAGATAAAAATAAGGTGGCTGCAAAGTTATCACATGCTCACAATTGCGTTTACAGCGCACACCTATTCACCGTGCTAACGATCGACAAAAAATGGACTAATCACTATTTCCTCAGAAGTGAAACTGACAAACACATGCGGTTCAAATTCGTCTGCTTCTTGCTTCTTGTCACATGTTACAGTCGGAACCACTTGCAGCATTTTAAAGGCAACTCCGTTTACGACGTCTGTCGTTTCGCAGCATCTTTCAACTTCAGTGAAAGAGGGCTGCGCGTTTCCCATTGTTCGCTTCTCATCTGTCTACTAAGTTGAGTCAATCCCATGGATTCAAGTGGGTTTACCGAGTGGATGCGTGCGTAACTATATGCAGTGACGTGAACAAGTTGAGGAAAATTGTTTTCCTCTTAGATTAGAAAGGTGAATTTCGAGCGTTATCTTGCCCGTGGTCCATTTATTCTGATGCTCACTCGCACGTACCTGTCCCTCTTATTTCCTTGTGACTAACCCATGACATTTTTGCGATGTTTTGATTTGTGTCCCGAAATTCATCCACATTCCCGTCACTACTCACTATTCGTGCTGGTCGCTTCGGTGCCGCCTACAATGTATGATCCGGAAAACCAAGTGTATCGGATGCAGTCAGTTCCATTCCCCTTGCCACAACAAATAAAGTTCAGCAGTGTACCACAAAGCTAGACGCAGGAATAAAAAGCATTCGGATGTTTTACAACAATGTGTCGCAGTTAATCGACAGTTGGATTAAAGGATTGGATACAGGTGCGTCATATCGGACACAGTAACCACTCGCATCCTGTCTCTCTCCAAAGCGATTCATTAGATTTCATGTCGGTCGGTTCGTACCTCTATCATCTCACACATTGGGCAGCAACTATTACGACGCAGCCTGGATAAGCAGCGCTCGGCGAGAATGGTGACCGACATTCTTATGTCGTAGACAAGGGAGTCCGAGATTTTGAACCCTCGCATAGTCCATACCAATGCGTCCAGTCGCTTTCTGATAATTTACTTATTGCATAGGAGAACCGTTCGGCTTTACCACCTGTTTCGTGATGGCCATAAATGGTTATCGTCAGCGTAATTCTGTGGCTTTAAATAAATGTGGGGTAATATAGTGTTTTGTCTCATTCCTATAATTGGTCATTGTAGGTGGAAATTACTGCGCCTCCGGAAACGTTATATCGTCAACGTACTTTAAACCTACCTACTCGCTGTCATGAATATAAGTAATTATTAGTTACACCTAATATTCACATTTGAATACCCATAGAGCTTTCTGGTGTGGGATTAGGTTACCGGTTGAGTGTCGGAAGCGCATCCAGTTGGAATATGCGTTTACGTCTCCGGTGAACTATCCGTTCGCTCTTCGTACACCTTATTCAGCCACTAAAGAGTCCTTATTCTATACCCTCATTGACCCCGGATTCGGTAACCAACGTTTCTGCTTGATAGGCTCTGATGAAATCTACAAAACTCCGCAAACGAAAAAAGACGCTGATCTGCTCTGACATAACTCTGTTATGTTCGCTACGTGCGTCGACTCGTTATGTTTCTCGTGTTCGCCATCACTAATTGCTACTGAACGCTTCCTGCAGCACAAGCTTTTAACTGCTATATCACATAAGACTCCATTTTGTCGTGGTGCAATCGGTTTTATTTCGGCATACTAGGCATAATTTGTTCCCGCTGCAATTATCACCGGAAGGTAGCACAGCGAACCACGTAACCCGTGTGGTAGGTACACTTGCATGCAACACAGCCCAACCACAAATGTGTGATTATCTCGCTAGCTCTTCCAGCATTCCGCCTGCCAATTAAAACCTCCTCCCTGTTCCCCTCACTCACCACAGTTGAAAGTTTGCCTCAGTTTTGGGATGCGGCTGAGAAACGAATGACAGAGCGGTCTAATGAACTGGAGGTAATGATCACGGAGACTCAAAAGCTAAAGGATGTCGAGCGTGATGTGGACCGATGGTTGGCTAGAGTTGAAAGTGAAATGGACGCTCTTGAGACACCCAGGACATTGTCTGCTCGGACTGGTGCTGAAGTGGATTCTCCTCGCCGGTTGCCCATCACCCCAGACACCGGAAGAAAACGGTTGCAGGTGGGTTATCTGGATATGGTTTTGTTGTTCGCTGCCTCAGCATGCTGTTCATTCTCCATTTGGCTTCATGCGAGCTCACGAGATGCTTGTCGGGCTCTGCCGTGTACTGCTTTGCATATATTCGCGGTTGTCTGACTGATGTCCGAACTACCTCCCCATGGTGTCAGTCGAGTGGTTCGGGTGTATCCCGTTCCAGCAAACCCTTCGGCGGTGGTGGGTTTTGGCCTGTCAATCGTTCCTCCATACATGCCCGTTTTACAAACTGTGACGTGGCGGATGTAATTCGGTACCAATTGAAATCACTGCTCCTTGATTCATCTTGCTGGAGCATTGTAGTCTAACCGATGGATGTTAACGTCATGAAGGATTTTGGGCGCTCGTTGGGCAACTCACCAAAGCCGCATGAACTGAACAGCCGGTCACTGAGTCCCGATGAGTACGGTTCACTGATTTCACTCCGATACCTTGTCGGTGGTCTGTTAAACCAAAGGCTTTAGTGATCTCCCCTAAATCAACTCCTCATCTCGTCTTGAGCAATCTTGTGGGATGGCGTCTTGTGAAGAGAAAATGACTCATTCTATAATGTGTTCGGCTGCCTTTTGCAATTACTGTGCTTCACTTTGGTTTCCATGGTTTTTTATGACGTCATGACATATATATATATATCTATATGTATATATATATATATCTATATGTATATATATATATATATAGTCACTCCTCAACATGACGCTGGGAATATATCCGAATGAATGTATCAGCGCTGCACGCTTGGGGTCGAGATACAGCTAGTTCATACGTATTTATGTACCTATGTTAATCACTGTACGGCGGATATCTAACTGCCGATAGCACGGTACCTCTGACCGAACGCATCGTAACTCCACAGCTTCCCCGCTGGATTTGTATCTGTCATCAACCAGCGTTCTTCTTTTTCGCAGCTATCTATATCTAGAGCTAAGATCGATTTTTATCAGTTGTTACTCGAAACATACACGGTGTCACACAAAAATTGCATCGGAACCTGAGATGACTCCAAGTATGCTACGTCCTTTAAACATTTCCATTTGATTAAAGGCCTGCATAGACAGACAACTTTGTCCTCTCTTCGATACACTTTACTTTGTCCCATATGAACACATATCGCTTTGATTTATACGATCTAAGACGGGGACAGCTTGACTGCACGGCCCTCTGTGCATTCGATTCCTGCTTAAGCTTGCAAACGTTTCAATGCGTTTGCATTCCAGCGTATTGTACTGAAATCCATTAAGTTGCTGATTCTTTCAACCTTATTGAAACAATTCTACATTATGCAATAGGTGCCGAAATTAGTCTGAGACTTGTTCCACTCAATTAGGTGCGATGTGCTCTGTTACACGATCGTGCTCGAAGTACCAGTGGTGTTTGTTGCTTTCAGATTCATCATACATTTCACATTTGCGCTCTGGCCACGCTATATCACACATATGTCCGTGAAAGACAAATCGTGACTAACGGGACACTTGTAGTATTACGCCCCTGGATAGTCCTGTTTGTATCTTTCATGTCATTGGAGAGAAGTGGTGTACTTTCGGCTACTGCAAAGAAGTCGGCTACCTTTCACCGAATCTAGATCCTCTCCCTGTGAACTTCTTCCCTTTTCCATGTGTCAGATAAAGTCACATAACGTCCGATTAATATGCAATTTCAAAAGGATATACCTGAGTTACTCATCCCCAGACATGATAGAAACCAATCCATGTCATCCCAAATCCATTTAAAGGTGTCGCGAAAGTTAGGACATTGTCTACAGCACTGAGCCATGGGATGTAGCGGGATGCAAAAATGGTCTTACTGTTTCTCTCTATAACTATGTGTTTCACACTCAACTTATCATGGTGTATCAATTTGGCTACCTACTTTTTTCCGTACGGCATAAAGGATGTGTCAAATAATCCACTCACCGCTTTTCGCGCTGATCTCACCTAGTAACGCCGCAAAAAAAGTGGTCAAAGCTCTAAGTTCAGCATCCGGATGTCATTTGAGTCGCAAGGTTTCCAACAGTAGTCAGCAAATGGGAGCACTCTAAACACACCGGAAATTATGATGTTCTACTGGGAACTCAGGCTAACGCCTTAATTATTCTTTCTTTGGGGAACTTATGGTGGAAAGGCTAGTCTCTGCTGATAGACACTATGGACGGCAGAGATTAGTGTGGTCTTAGAAGGCACATCCGATGCTCAGCAAGTCAGGTCATTGTAATTAGCAACACTGTGGTGAAATGGCACCCGCCACATAACATCACTTATACACCCGATATATGCCGATGATCATTTTCACTCATTAAAGTGTTTCTGGTGTGCAACTGAACCAACTATTCGGTGAACTCTCCGCCTTCGAGTTTTGATAGCCGACTGTCACTATCGTCTATTCCCTTGAAGTGAATACACGCTGGAATTCTGTTAGCTATTGGCCTCTGGGGTTCATGATCCATCAGCCGATCAACGCTGGCTTCCGAACTTGGAGTTGCCCGGCTAAAGTACAACGCGTACAAATTCTAATCCGTATGGATTGCATTATCCCGCCTTAATTCCACACATAGACAGGTGATGGTTCGTGTTTCATCTGGATGACTTTAACAAATGGAATTCGGCTGGACTCGTTCTTGTTTACATTTCATGAGTTCGATCGTCATGTAGTTCGTGTTGCTTCGTCGGTCTATTCCTCCCGAAAATGGAGGATCCCAAGCAGTCATAACACATTGCTGGTTCCATTCTTCCCTAGCCATCCCAGTTCACTCCATCCAATCATAATGCATAGTTTGCATACCAGTTCACTTATTGTTTACCTTAAGGCATATTCCTCTTTTTTGGCCCAGGTTCCTCCAAATTGCATCCATGTGGTTACTTGTTAGTCCTGCGCTCAATTCTTGCATGCTTTGTTCCAGACTGAAACCATCCGCTCCTCTAACCACCTGCTGTGACAGATACTAACCAAAAAGGTTGGCAGTTTGCAAATAGAGAGCCCGCTGTGCATTCACATATCTCTGATCTGTCCACCATGCGGAATCGGTCCTAGTGAAAGCGAACTCGTACTGGGGAGGATGCAAAGTTAAACGGAGGCGTACACGACGATGGGAGAGATGAGACGGATTCGCCTGACAACTTTATTGTTGCACCGTGAACCAGCCCTGTTGATGTGCATTACAAGTCAGCTTTAGTACTGCTGCGAATACCCCTAAGCGTACAGGCAAAATGGCTTCGCTGCAGCTAAGGTCTGAGAAGGCACAAAGCGAGGCTTTTAGCTATGGAAGCGTTCACCTAGTCCATTGAATACTGGTGACTTCTTCTACACCTTGCTTGCTTCCAAACACCATTTGTTTGTGTCTGTGGTTGAAATAAAGTGTCCATTGTCGTATGTGCAGGGTCCTACTTTTTGTCGTTCTACTTTTCATCACCTCTCCGACTGCATTCAATGTGTCGTACTGTGTACCAAATCTGTTGCTTAATAAGCAAACGCGGTTTCCATTCTCGTGTGTGTGTACACCAGATAAATCATCGATTTTCGTTTGCTTCCCCCATATTTTAGGAAATTAACAACAGTTTACCAGAGGGAAATAACAAGCTGAATCGCTACAGGGAGGAATGTGAGGCGTTAATCTCTCGTTTCAATGCGGAGGATACAAGTCGGCTTCAAAAGGATTTGGAGCAGATAACCAATCGGTGGGACAGCCTGAACGACCGGTTAGTCAACGCCCTTGCTTTCCTTCATGCATACAACTGGTTCTTTGCGGCTCTTCCCACTTAATGCTCGCGACAACTGAGATTAAACTGGCCAAGTGCACCGTTATCCGATGGTATGTAGAGAACTAGCCCAGTAGGATTGATGAATGTCGCGCTTTCGTCGAAGGGGTCTCGAGATCGATCTCACCGAAACGACCTAGCCATTAAATTAGCAACTCTTCTGTATCCGATCTATTGACCCGACCAGATGACCTATCGATATTCAATGTGCTTCCTTTGTTATTCCTCTTTGGAATTTTATCTTCATGTTTTCATTTCCACTCACATCATCAGTCGTCTCTAATTACTGTTGGATTTTGGAGTACTCAATGTTTTCTTGGATTAAAAAACGAAATCTCCATTTAGACCGCGGTTTACATTTAGATAAACCTGGGCCATTATTATCGCTGGAACCGTCTCAGTGCTTGACACAGCGGTATGAAGTTGGTTCTTAGGTTTTTGAGTACTCGCCGCTATGTCGACTACATTTTGCAGAGCTTAATAGTTAGCCGTCGACCGCTATGTCCCGGCCTCCACTCCCAACTCAGGCAACAATTCCTGTTGAGACAAAACAAGGTCGAAACCAGTCGTATAGTGCCGTGTTGAGAGCGAACAGTTCCGTAACTCTCCACGTTGTTACTTATCTTTACTTCAGCAACGCGAGGCATGGTGAGTGCAGTAGCGACGTGGATCGAGTTATGGCTTAGGGCTGCGATTCATTTAGGAAATATAGATAATGTTGGTGCTCCGCTTATTTATTCGGGAGAATGCTATAGCTAAATTGGGAATCGATTCGCAAATCGTTTATTCTATTTACAGGTCCTTTGTTTGAGCAATAACTTGCTATACCGCTTGAAATCCGATGACGCCATAATATCCATGTGCATCTTTCAAACCACCCAATGTCGCTGCGCTTCACGGACTCTTGCGCTATTCGTCTCCTTGTGCCTGAGTTAACATACCGAAGGCATATAGACAACACGCGCATCAAACTCAGGGAGATTTGTAAATCCGTAACACTCTCCGTTCGTTAACAACAACGAACGTTTTACCCATCCGCGCAAGTGTTGATGAGCAATGTGTTTCAACATCTATCCATTCAGTTCAATTGCATTTTGCTTGTTCAGTCACACAGTGGCTATCACACATTGCATGCAGACTGTATAAATCATGGGAACTATCCCATGGTTAACGGTATATGGTTCCGAATTTGTCTGTCACTACGGCCTCCATAGGACAGCCACAAGACGCCTGCCCCTACAGCGCGACCAGAGATGGCTTGCGCTGCACCACCCACAGCTCCATCCATACACCGCATATCCAGTGTAAACCCGAAGGATAAGACCGGGAGACATGTGGATGGGAACCACGTTTCACTAACGAAGCCGATCCACTATCCTTCCACATGCACTGCAGCATGATTCCTGACTGTGTACTTGGGGAAGCGTGCGTACCAGGCGTACACAAGACGGTGGCTGGTCCGTAGTCCGCACCACACTGGATGGAACCATCCTTTGAGCCTAGCACGGCCAGGAGGACCGTGCACCCCGTCTACCCAAACATCGATCAACTGTCTCCTGGAGGCAGTATAATCGAGCTAGTGGTTTTTCGATAGGCTGACACCTTGTCAACATTCACATTAAGAGCAGCCACACCGGGGATATAAAATAACCAACACAGTATTTCAAGGAAAATAAGCACGCAAATTGCCATTTAATATGCAGCCGAACAACAGAACTGAGCAAATCAACTGAAGTGGAATACATTTTATCCAGGTCAAGAAGATCTGCTTTAAATGTAAGTCGGTGTAGCCCAACTGCGACGAAGAAGCATGATGTATGCAACATCAACCTCAGTATTATGCACGCAACTATGCCATGGTTGGCGGCATCCGATTACGGATTTGTCTGTCACTGTGGCAAGCCACAGGACGCCTGTGCCTGCAGAGGGACCATGGGTAGCTTGCGTTGCACCACCCACAGCTCCAACCACACACCCCATATCCAGTGTAAACCCGACGGAATAAGACCGGGAGGCATGTGGATGGGAGCCACGTTTCATCAACGGAGCCGGCCCACACTCCTTCACAGGCAAACACAAGCACGCTGTATTTGGGGAATCAAGCGCACACAATGCGGTGGCTGAACCGTCATCCACACCACAAGGACCGTACACCCCATCCCCTCCAGCAACGACCAACTGTCTCCAGGAGCCAGTATGAACGAGGTAGTGGGTAATAGAGAGGTAGTTATCTTGTCAACATGCACATCAAGCGCAGCCACACCTGGGATGTCAAACAACAGCCAATCACTTGAAATGACATTATCAAATAAAATATATATGTTAAAGAATACGGCTATGCAGACATAACTCTTCCTTAAATTAGCATATGAAGTAAGTTGGTTAGCAACGAATCCGTGATAAGTACGAAATGTCCAGAAGTTACTCAACAAATACTACAAGCGCAATAACGTTAACGAAGATAACCACAATTATCGTAAGCAACTTGTCCAGTTAAGAGAAGATTATTCAGGTAGGCCGAACAAACCAAATAAACTGGAATGCAATTTATCCAGCTTAAAAAGACCTAGTTTAAGTGTAAGTTGGTTTAGCCCAACTGCGGTGAAGAAGCATCAAGAATGCAACATCAGCCTCAGCATATGGCTGTTGAAACGCAAGTTGTACAATTTACGGTAGTGGGCTGATATCGGCGCCAAAATGGAGCCCCCGTCCTGTCGGTTTTCTATGTCAGCTAATCCAATCTGTTTCTATAGTGTGAGTAATGTTAGCAGAAATCATTGACACTTTCGTTGGACAAATACAGAGTCTTTCGCTCATACCAACCCCTGTATTGTGTGAAGTAGCAAATATTTTAGAAGCATTGCGTTTATGAAATCACTGTGATTTGTTAAACGGTTCTGGTATAAATACTAGTGCCAATTATGGAAGTGGTCGACTGTTGAGTTACTAGCGTTGCTTCCTGTTATCAAGGTTACGTATGTTTGTCATCGCATATGCTTCTCCACATACTGTTTTTACTCAATTCCTGTCATGTTTCTTCCCTCCGACCGACGTATTCTTTCAGCCCTAATAAGCTAACGCTTTGTAGACCGTGGTGTGATTAGTACCGTGATCGCTCAATGCGTAGGCGGAGTGTATGCGCCTCGCTGTCCGACTCAGACCCTGGGTACGAACAGAGCAATCAGAAGCGTGGATATTTTATTAAATTAACCTAGGTGACAATGCAAACAATGCACCAGAGAGATTGGTGGGTGTACATCCATCTGGGGTTCATCAGGGTTTGATAGCACACTGCCTGCCTGCTGCACTGCCGTTACGTCCCCCGGGAGATCTGCGAACGACATACGCCCAATCTTGTCCTATACAGTTTTTATGCTCATTGAGCGACACAGTGAAAGCCTCGCAAACTTTCATGTCACTTCAACTTCTCCATGAGTCTGTTTGCAGAGGGGTCACACAAAGAGTGCAGTCTATTCACTCAAGCTAACAAAGCAGTTGACGATGATCTGTGTTTGACCGCGTCGTGTTGGTAAGCAGGAGTGGAAGCATTGGTGGTGGACCGATGCGCTTCACTCGGGGAGACAACAGACACTGGGGAAACTCATTTCATACATAGTCGAATATGGGTTACGCGGACAATGCAACCAAAGAGCGTGTGTGGTCACCATCGAACAAACCGAGAATATGGCTTTGGGCCAACTGATCAAACCACCTGCTATGTAGAAAACATTCTGACAAGCAGGGGGAAATGAGGGATGAGGATTGGGGTCGTTTCTGATGATGTCAAAAGATTTCCGGTCCGTGCCCTAAAGGATTACAAGTCTGCCTTGTAATCCGACTGCACGGGATCGCGCCTTGGTGGGGGACCGGGCGCCCTTCGCGACTGTTGGTGGTTGCGTGGCAGCCAAGCGTCGGTACGGCGGACCGGTGTACTGTTGACACCTTTCCTTCCTGATGTTTCGTACCATTTCAACTATATCATGTCTTACTTCACTCCTTATATTGATGGATTTGAACCCTTATTTTTCACTGGATCGCTTCTCTTGTTGCTCCTTACGTTACTCTGTGGGAGCGCAGTCCATTTGCTCCATACCACGCTCATACTAGTCAGGCTGGGCAAAGACAAGAATCCTGGTGTGCGTCCACGGTAGCTTCAAGCATGGCGGTCAGCTTTCCAGTGACCGGTTGGGTCCAACACCTGGCCAGCTTGCGTCACAATTTACACCGTTGCTGTACATGAAGATCTATGGTGAGCAGAAGTTAGGGAGCACCTAACTTACCAAGTCGTAATAAGCTTGCGGTTCCTCAAGTCAAACGGCTAATGTACTGCGTTTAACTCCGTACGATGTTGGGATAAAAAACGGCATGAAGACCCACGTTAGGTCACTCGCCCCGACCCATCCTCAGATAGTGCAGCTCATTTGTCTTTGCTCGCGTTGAATAATCCGATTGGATGAGTAACAACTGTCAACCGACTGATACATTTCTCTCGTTAAACTACAATCTCTATTGGGCCAGCTGTATAACAAACCTTGTTTTACATGCGATGGGAACTTTAGGACGCCGGTTTTTCTCTCATGTTAACCGATCTATTTTATTGATATTTGGACAGTTCTGAGTTCACTGCTATGAATTTCACCTGAGTAGATTTTTCTATTAGGACTATTGCTAGTTAGCTGTTATGTACCAGATTTTGTGTATCCAATATTCATTGTTATTATTATGCAATACCGACGCTCAGTGTAACCACTTGAAATGAGGCTCAAAAGCGTTCCCCTACCGAGCTTATCAACCATGAGGGACCTCGTGGTTCAGTGGTTTCCGCGCCACCTTGTTTGTTTCTATAAAGTAACTCGGCTTTGCCTTACGATGTTTCACATCCCTCTTACTCACGCTAAACTAAACGACGTTTTCCAACTAGACTAAAAGGCCAGCGGGCGGAGTTTCTCAAGGTTTGTGATGGTTGGCTGGTTATTGATTTTACTGTATTTTAGCTCCGTTGTGGACACATGGAACGTCTCAGTTTTTGGATGATGTTGGCATAATGTTTCACTGTCCACTTGTTGCCCTCAGGATGAAATCAACAATGGAAACTTATTGACTGAGCTGTTTTCTTATTCGAGCCAGACATGCCAGCGGCTTCATAGATATTTCACCGCACTAGCCTCACTTAACAAACTTTACGACTTGGTTCATAAGTGCAGTTACCACGCATTTAGAAATTTCCGCGCTCTCATATGACCTCGTTTAGTCCATTGAGTGGGGCGCACCCGCGATATCTACTGATTTCATGTTTACGACAAACCCATTTTCGCTTTAAAGTTTTGGACGCTTGACTTTCCTTGATAATGGGGCGGTTTAATGCCATTTACTCCTCTAACCGAGGTAGAGCACGTTATTTGAGCAGTAGCCTTTTGTATAACAGGCACTAACATTGCGTCGGGGAGTCGCGTCAAATCCGTTTCTTGAATCGCAATCTTTGTGCGGCGTTCGGGAACTAAGAGGACCTGTGGGCCGTAAACAAAGGGTTATTCTAAGACGAGTCTTAGTTTCCCCACCGGAGTCTGAAACTCGCTGATAACCAAAACTATACTTAAGAAGAGACAAGGTCACTGAATGTTGGCGATATCGCATAATCCAAATACCAACCGCTATAAAACTATCTGGTTGGTATTCCTTCGATGGACTGCTTCTTCTTTCCTTTTGTGCCTTTTCAGACTGAAGCGGTTATCAAAAATGATGCGAACTGAGGCGAGCTACGACGATCTACCTCACGAAACTGATCGTGCTGTGTTGGAACACACGGGACGATCTTCCAGCCACGAACGACCTTTGGCGGCCTCCACTGACGCCGTCTCTTCCAGTGGGGTTATGCGTGGTAGCAGCGGCAGCATCAATGCGAGGGAAAAGTTGCAGCAACGATTGGAATACATTGAACGAAAAGTTACTCATATCGGTCAGATGGAATCGGATTTGCAGCGAAACTGTTCTATGGACGAAGAACCTGCCGCTTTGAATGCCCAGCGAATTCAAATACTTGGTGAACTTCAGGTAGGTACGGTGGGCACGTCCTGGAAAGCTAACCTAAACAAATGTTTTCCACGAATCGCCGTAGGAGGAGTGAGGCTAACAGCTGCCTACTCCCCACTCTCTCCTGTCACCGCTATCAACAATTACCGACAATGACAGATATTTATTTGGGGAATCACTTGTTAAACTTGCGGAATATGGTGGAGGGCTGGAGCATTATCCGCCTGTCTATCTTATGTTTAAGGTACTTGTTTTTTGGGTTGTGACACAATCTAAATGTCAACGCAACTCTTTGGGGAATTAAACACCAGCCACTGTGATTACACTGAGACCGTACCCGAGGTAGACACATATTTATTGCTACACACTGCCAATGTCTTCTGTAGTTGTAATCTGCAAGTGGACGAAGTTTGAATTTAAACGAAAATGATTTATAGACTGGTGTAAAAGATTACCAGTGGATCGTGTGTAAAAATGCCTACCGGTGTTCACTACACCTATTGTTCTACTCCAAGCTCTGACTTTCTTTATCTGAATCAGCAATAGGGTACATGTCATCGAAATAGATTTAAAAATGGATTACTTCCAGTGATCGATTGTCCTTTTGAGCACATAAAACTGGCCTACCTTGGTTCCTCTCAAAGTGGTGGCCGGCAGCCGGTATGAATTTATCCACAGAGGCCAGCGTCTTATATCGACACGTGACTTGCTCGGTTTCCCAATGAACCAGTTTCTTCATACTAGAACTTGGTGTCATGTCCCCGAGTGTGTAGACAACTAGTACTTTGTGTGCACGGTGTGATTTGACCTGGCCACGTGGGGAGTACTGACGGTTTTCGAGATCGAATGCGGAGGCCAACTTGAGGAGCCAAGTCCAGCTTTGGACACACCAATTGACCTATCTGGAAGCATTCACCTAATATTTTCCTTCCACTAATGTTAGAGTTCGGCTTGCTACTTTTGAACCTTACTGTGGCGTGCTTAATGCTTCCGGGTTAAGATACCGTGCAGGAAAGTAGTGTGGAGGCAATTCCTTTTACCTTTCATCGACAACTTCAGGACGGGGTGTCCACCTAGACGTACTGAGGCAGTGAGAAATTTGATGTACCCTTACTTCTGAATGATGGTTTTATCTCTGTCCATAGTTCGCCATGGGTGCTGAATTGGCTAGTGTTCGGCGCATGTTATCCTATCCGGAATACCACATTGGTAGAATCGCATTTTTGCCATAATAAAAGCAACGATAATACTATTTAACATGTCAGCTCACTTTTGCATTTATGGTGCGTCTAGGTAAAATAAATTACCCCATACGTTGACGAGAGTTTGGGTTCGCTAGATTGCAGTTGTTTAATCACTAGATGAGGCAACATCATGTATACAACTAGCAGGGAATTCGGGATGGTCCGAGTCAGTTATGGATATTCAACTATGACTTGATGACACACTAGCGCTACTAAATTACCTAGCGGAGCCTGTGTATTTCTGGATGGTTTTCATCTATGCTCATGCAGCCTAGCGCAAATAGCGCAGGATGCAACCAATTTCCTTGGACAACAATTTACTCGTACCTTCAAAAGCGCACCTTCATCTAACATCCTTATGCAGATTACCCTGAAGTCAGGATTCAGCCAATTATCATTTATCCCCACGGATGTAATAAGATGACCAAAACCGCTGCGCCGACACAGAGGATGTCTGCCGAAAGCGCCGAGGATGGCCGCCATGGGTTCAGATGGACCGTTAGTCAGGTTCTTCCAACCATCTCTGTTGCGATACAGGTTACCACTGGGTGGAATCTCGGGTTCGTCATTCCAGGTTACAAGTGTTGAAGTTAATCACAACCAATGAACCATCAATCAATACCGCTACTTCCGGTGATCGCATAATTCATGGAGTCCAATATCGCGAAGGCACTCGTGCGGTACCTAGAGTATCAAAATTCTATCTCTGAAGCAGCACGAATTTCACCAGAATTAGCCATGCATCACAGCCTACTGATAGCCATGCGTGGCGAACAGAATCCATCTATGCCGGAGTGAAAACGGATGCTATCTAGCTAGATTTTCTAGGGCATTTAAAAGTCTCGATCATAGCGTTTGCTTTCACAAGATTCTGGATTAAGGGATAAAAAATCCATCTCTCGGTTGGATGGGTAATTTTTGCATTCAACGTCATCTAAAGATGAGGTTTTGTAGCAATTTGTCCAACTCAATAGAAGTGCAGTGCGACCAAATCCCAAGAATGGGCACTCGAATCACACCTGTTCCTGGTCCTCATAACCGATCTCTCAAGGGTATTCTCGTCAAATTTTCAACGCCGCTCGATATCAAAAGACATGGTGTACTACTACTACTACTATTACTACTACTACTACTACTGCTACTACTACTACTACTACTACTACTACTACTATAATGGAAGGTCGTGCAGAACTGGTGACTTCGATAGTTGAACACCCAGATGCGGAATTCTGAGCATACGCAATCAAAGCGCTTACGACTGCAGATTGAGGCCGTAAATTGTGTAACACGGTTCAATGGGAGATATCTCGGATTTCTTATGTACGATAAGTTTGACTATCAGGCAGACTGAAAGAGCATCAAATGAGGTAAATCAGCACTCTAGCTCTTTGCGAATAGCGTTCGGAAATTAGACACCCCGTTTTTTTCTTCAAAACCTTGACGCGCACCTCAGCCTGCGAATCTGGTGACGTTGACAGAAGCACCATCTAACAGCCCCCGGGACTTTACAGCACAGTAATACAAAACACTTTAAGATCTTGTCCCATCTTCGTTACCAACTCAGGCTGAAAACTATAACAAAATACAACATATATTGTCGACGTCTATGGAATGATCCGATAATGTCTTACCAAGTCCCTGAAAACAACAACCATCCTTGACACCAATTCCTGAAACACAGTCTAAACAAATCACTATGGGATCATCAGTTCAAGCTGCTCATGCAGTACAGCTCAGATCGTAATGTCACAGAAATCTCTCCGAGGGTTTTAACCATGGAACACTCCCAGAGCGCGTTATCAATACCCCCAATCGATCAGCATTCGAAAGAAAACTTGAAGTTGCACTGACACCTTTAGATTACGTGACATAGCCCGTGTGTGTCGAATGAGTAAATTAACGCAGGACAATCGGTGTGTTCAATGAACCCCTTAAACTCGAGGAAGTAATACTTACATCTGTGCTAATGCGTAGGTCTTGGAGAGTCCAGTGTATTTTTTGTCCATACTGAGTTCTTCTATTTTTCATCCTCAGCATCCTACAGGATTGGTAAAACATATGCTTTTTTACCCTTTACAAACCATCATTCCATCGCTTCATTGCACTGCTGCTGGTGAACATAGCGATACGCCAATTGCTTCAAACCTTATTTTGCCAACCGATTTTCTAGTACCCACAAATGTTTCACAGTGACTGTGCTGCGCGACTTGGGTTGTTTTTCTCGTAGTAAGCCACAGTTCCACTTTTGTATTGCTATCCATTCACGCGCAATTTATGCACGAGCTTATTTGGTTCAAGGTGCCTTTAGTACTTCTCTGACGGCTCTCAGTCGCATTATAATTAATGGCTAGTGTCATTAATCAGTATGACAGCAACCAATGCGTTTCACTACAATCCCACAGAGACGAACGAGTGCGTAGCACTTCTATGTCTAGTCCACTAGTAGATTACGGACCCTGCTATCATTAAACATAAGGGAGCTTACTCGCTGCAGTCTGATAGCGGTGACTTCTAGCCAATATCTTGCGTTGATATTGTTAAATCTGGTAACGAAATATCTGCAAACACAACGTCTAACTCCTGGAACAACTTAACATCTTCATTTTTCTTTTGAGTTACCAATCGTATCTATGATGCTTTTGCCAACCTTCATCATTGCCGACTTTAAAACAGCTTCGAACTGACTGCCAGCGTCTGATGTGCGATTGGATCATACCAACTTCTAGAACATTTCTTGACCACACAACATTACCCCATTGTTGCACATTAAAAGAAGTTGTATCCCAAGTATCAGCTTTCTTTCTGCTGGGTCAGTAAACGTGTGCTTTCGTTCTATTTACAAATCGATGAAAACAGTCCAACTGGCGGCTTGATATACTTGTTTTTCGTGTTTATTTTTTCAACACGTTCCATTGCAGCTGAATCGCATATCCATTCCGATAACACCAGCGCCATTTACGAACGGTCTAATCCTCCATTTACGCAGGTTATCGAATCGGTACTTTCAATCTCTATCTTCTTGGGAGTACCACACGGAGAGAGGGAACATTAACAGTCTTATTCACTACACGGTGATGAAGTTGAGCTAGCATAGTCGACCGGAGTTCCGATTACCGGCAACTTATTTACTAAAAGTAGAAACATTTTTATGCATATTGTTAACATTACAAAATACTAACTGGTTAACCAGTGTCTTTGTGCGCGGATCTGGTTCGGCTCCTAACCACACGGTTATCTACCGAATGCCGGACTCTAAACACAATGCTTGTAACGACCCTTAGAAATTTATCGGAATTCGCATGTCGAGTCAATTTTAAACTGGTATCCATGCGCTCATTGATTCAAACCTGTACATGAGAAAGAGGTTTGGAAACAATCGAATGCCGCAGGCGAAGAAGCGCAGGCGAAGAAGACGAATGAATGCGTAAAGATTTAGATAGAAAAGTGAAATATATGGGTCTCACGATGCGGAAATTCATCTGTCGCTGTCAAGTAATCCAAAGTTAGCGTATTCTTCCCCACCCTCGTAGCTCACAAAGCAGTTTGCAATGATTGCATGGTCCGCTCACACACCGGCCTCATTTCCCAATTGGATGACGCTAGCCGGATTGTGCTTGGCATGGTCGACGACGCTGTCCATCACAACTAACCTTCGTTGCTCAATACTTTTACTCCTCTTTCGTTAAAGGCACTCCAAAGTGAAATCAACACACTGTCGAGTCAGCTGTCCGGTAGCGTGAAACCCTGCAACCAGGAGTCGAATGCCTTCCCCGACACCGATTTCCTCGCCAGATGGCGCCAGCTGCGAGACAAGGTGGCTGCTCTCAGGTAAGTCCTAGGATTCGTCTCATTGTGTCCCTTCTGTATGACCACTGCACAACACACACATATTACTACACCATTCTTCTCAGGGACGATAGGGTTATGGGTATGCATCGCCAGATCCTGTTCGATCCTCGGAGTGCCTGGTGCCGTCACATTGATGCAGCAGTTCTGGCGCGTCTGCTATGGAAACGCGCCCGAAAAGGTACCTTTTTTGAGCAAAATCTCTGTTTATTACCGACCTGTAATGGCAGTGTTTGCAAATCCGTAAAACGAACCACTAACCGCTCTGTTCACTCATGGGTTTGCCGACAGGAACGACTATTGCATTCGATCCCCACTGCACATCAGATGGCCTGACCTGCGTTATCGTATAATCAGCTTCTCAGGGCATATCTTCTAGCACTGATACACCTTACATCTTCAAGTGAATATTGTGTTTGCTACTGCTTCATTAACATGTCGGGCTTTCATGATGGAACCGCCCTTTTCATAAGCCACACAAAACTTCCATTTCCCTTCCCCTTACGTACTCCTTTGTGTCTGCGCTCCCTCTGGTCACATGTGGATATGCATATACTGGGGACACATTCGCGGCACACTAATTGCAACTGTAATACGTGCATACCCAACCCTAACGGAGGCGATGGAGCACAAGTTGGCTGGAACGCACCGCTAAATCGCTTTTCTGCAAGTGTGTTACTGCTTGTGAGCACGAAGCCCCAACCCATCCCTTCGCCACATTCATGCGATAGACGCGCCTTCACCTCATAATTCTTTGTAGAATCCACATACGTGTGTACAATTCGTTTTTACGTGCACTCCTCTTATTCGCCGAGAGAGGTTGCTTTGAAATGTGCCGCCTTAGTCAGACACAGTTACCTATTTTCCGAAACACAAAACGACGACTACGGCATTTTCTGGCAGCTTCACTCACAACAGCACATATAGACAAGTAACTGCATCAGTTTACATGAATGTGAACCTCTCCTGCGTGCAAGCGGTATACTTGTTTTCACCCACACAGGGCTAAAGAGACGGTAAGTTTCGTCATAAACTTCTAACAGAGCGCCGATTAGATCCGAGATTTGGTGGTGTCTCAACCAGTAAAGTTCTCATGAAGTGATCATTTAACGATGACCACTGGGATGTCTCTATACTGGCAACCACCTTTGGGGTGTGCGAGCATTGTAATAATAATATATGTTTATAAATTAATCAAAGCTTAGTACGCGTTTAATGTAAATGACAGCCGTATTCTTTCCAATCTTGTTTTACTCGAGTAGCATAGGGTTCAAGGAGATACGAAAACCCACTTCACGTTTTTGGTCGCTACATAATGAGAACCATGCATTTGTACTCATCTTTGTTTTGTAAACGTATAGCGTAACGTATAGCAATACATCTTGAGTGTATCTACGGTCAACACCAAGCAGAAAATGGGATGGTACTATACGTTCCAATGCAGGATGCGTGCCGCATGTGGTCGCCAACTACTCCTGCCTAAGAACAGGTGCTTATTATAATGGTTCAGATATTGGTCTACTAAGACGTTCCTTGCATCCGTTGAAACACTCTAATATCCGTTATCGTTCCCTTCTTCATCCGACAGGCAGAGTATCCACACCAGCCCTAGTCACAATACTTTATTCCTAGCTCGATTAAAACAACTGAACAACTGGGTCGCCCACAGAGATGCCGCTTTCCGGGCCACCGTCTGTCCACTGACCGGGAACCTTCTGTTCATTATGAAGCTTCGTGATATGGTGACGGTGAGTTGACAGTTCTTGCTTCATGATGGGTTGTTAGTGCCACGCACATGAGCTCAGCTGTCATTCTATCATGAAGTAGCTCCTTTCCCTTCATACGCTATTTCTTACATATTAGATGTAGGACGTAGCGAACCAGTTTGTTTTCAGTGGATCATCATCAGGCTAGTACAACGACAACTATGTAGGTCTATGAACATGGGAATTACAGGCGTCAATACATCAAGTATCTCATCAATAAGGCTATGTGATTAGCCCAACCTGTGTGGAGTCGGGGGAATGGCGTGCTAGGTCTGCTTACTTATGTTAGTCTGCACAAAATACTTCTGTGCACACAACTCCGGGTTGTGGGTCCTAATTGCGATTGTCTCTGCTGTCGACAGCAGACGGCATCTGACACCTCTCGTGTGGCGTTCTGGCACACAGTAGTTCGGTTGGAATGAATATTGAGTTTATTTTGTGGTTAGTACCCACTAAATATGACAATGCTGCGCTCGTCACATTCTTCCTCACAGCACTGGATAGCTAAGCTGGACAATGCTCTCGAGCTCTTACGGACAGTCGCCTGGTAATTTTCCAATATACCTTGCTCGACACCAGCAAGAGAAATTGTACGCACAGAATGAAATTTGCGACCGCAGTATCCTGTCTTTGAGCTCCTGGCGGACAATCGGTGTTAAGGTGAAGCTTACACGTAACTCGGCCGCTAAGTACGTTTTGGCAATGGCTAGGGTAAGCCTTCGGGTGGTTCGCTACGCTATCGCGTCACCCTTAAACGGTAACGATAAGTATACTAGGCGCTTCTCTGTGAAAGCAGATTTCATCTTCGGTATTTACGGTTCCATGTACTTCTGGAGGAATTTTCTGGGTACCCATTACATTCGAACATCCTTTGGATGGAACTCAGCTCCTCAGAAAGCGTCTCTTGTGTGCATATTCGTCTCGCTCTCCCAGTGAAACAACGACCTAGATTATGTTTCTGGCTGATTGGAACAACACTATGGAGGTGGGTGTGTTGCACATTCCAAGTTCCCTTTCTGTATACTCTCCTCCGTATTGTCCCATATGCTGCCCTATTAATCTGGACGTCTAGAAAGGTCAATGTGTCCTCACTTTCTAGTTCGAGAGTAAAAGTTACGCTGTTATGTGCGGAGTTGAAATGGGCCAGCAGATCTTCAATACACACCACATCGTCCGCAACACAAAAGACTTTGAAGTTGCGAACCGAGACGTGCAGCGCTACGCATCAACCGGTCAAGTAACGCTTGAATATGCGCTGGGTCCTACCAACGTCTAGATATGTAGTCTGCATACCACGGGTTTGTTAGCTGTTTACCCGCGAGAATTTCCACTCCAGAAGAGGACGGGAGAATGAAGTCACTTATGGTCGTTTGAAGAGGGCGTCTAGAGTAATTACGCCGCGCTTCCGTTGTCGTGGGGTGATATTTTTGTGGTGATGCCAAAATGAAGGATATCACCCACCGGGAACACACCGATTGTTTGGAAGCACTAAAAACACGCTTCCTTTTCCTAGGTTCAGCCAAATGAAATCCCTACAGTTAAGCTAATGTTTATCTGTTTTTCTTTTCCCCATTCTCACGCAATTCGATCCTTCCATACGAATCCTTCCTATTTGGATTAGAAGGAGCCGTTTGGATCCTCCACGGATATCCGCCACTAGTTAATAATGCCAGTTTAACCAGGAACACAGTTGGTCCAGTCACTTTATCAAATGTCCCCTATGTCTTTAGGAGCGATACTGCAGATGCATCTGCCTTTTGTGCAATGAACAGACTAAGGTGCTCGAACTCTATTTTTGTTAGGTTTTTTATCTCACGGTCATAACATGAAGACGAGTTTTTATCAGCGTAAAAGTAGGGGGTCCCTTGCCGTCACCATTCCAAGCATGATCAGTAGAAAACCAGTCCCTGCTTGTAGATCTCTGGCTAACTCCTCCTGGAAACACCTTCCACACCATCCCGCTGAAGTAAGATTTCCGATCTTTAAATGGCTCTCTCGAGGCATACGTAGCCGAATGCAGAATCTGGGGCGCCAGGGCTGACCACCATTTTATGACCCAGGTTAGTTACTCACAGTGGATTATTTTCTGGGACAATTTAATAAGTTGGTGTTTCGGTGGCCGACGGACCCTTTTTAGATAACAACCACTAAGCTCTTACTTAATCACTTCGAAATTTTTACAGAAGAAGTGTTCACTGTATCGACCATTGGGACTGCGTTCTTTGTGAATGACCGGTCGTAAAAGCAGTAATTACGCTCTTGCTGGAGGTCAGTTTTTATTTTGTCTCCATTTCATCATCATCTTATCCATTGGATGAATAAATCTAGTCTCTAGCCAAGTGGGCAATATGTGCTGTCCAAACTAACTCTGCACTCACCGTCAATTACTAAAATTTGCAAAAAATTCTCCTGCTCTTAATCGAATTTCCGTTTTCCTACTTTTCAAATGAAGTCGTTGGGTGAGAAGTCTATCGTCCCTGCGGCTTTTGCATGTTCATCTACTAGGGCACAATTTATCGCTTTTTTTGCGTTTGTTTGCATTTTCTCATGCTTGTTTAAAAACATGAGCAGTTTTTTCCTATGACGTGGGCAGCTACTTTTTCATATTATCAGTGTTGCTTATTAAATGCGAATGTTCCGAATTACAGTTGGTCTATGAGCCACATTTGCAGCCGAAACATCCTTCGGTTTATTATCACTCCACATAGTACAGTCGACCAACAAACAAGCAAAGTTTCCAGCTCGGATTGGATGCTTTCGTGTTGATCGCCGAGCACTTTGAGCGCGCTTCACTAGGTTTCTCGAATGGATCTACCTCGGCCAGTACTCTGGCACTGAGCCCATTGCCGACCTATCACCGTGACTCCTAGGTTGCTAGACTGCACCAGCATTCTTTGTGACAGCATCAGAGAATTAGTTTTGACGCGTGGTGGCGTTCTGGCTGACTAGAAGCTCTGTTCGAATGGTGACACGCATTAAGAATTGAGCTCGTGATTTGCCTTCAAGTAAGTCAGTCATCTCGCTCACCGGAACCGTGATCAGAGTAGAGATATCTTTTCGCTTGCCTCGGACGTCAACACCCACCCAGCAATCAAAATGAACAAGCGCCCTCGCAGTTAAGACTGTTTCACAACCCAAACACACACAGCAGGCAACTCAATTCAAAGTATCTCGTTCGGAACAAATCATTTTTGCAACAGCTGTCCTACCTTTTAAACATCATGCACATCAGTGTCTTTTATCGGCAGCTAAAAATAAGTGATTTATTACAAGCGGCTTCATCCTATCAGGTCCTACATCTAATAATTGCATTTGCTAACGGATACTAGGCATCTCCTCCGGCGGGCGTACACGCGGACGATAGGGGAGAATTCCCCATAGTTTTGTTCTCATGACATGAGACGCACAGTTAATGTGTCTGGAAAATTGTGAACCTAGATGTGGTCACGTACTCATCCTATCCTCTTAGATCAATTCGACCGTCAGCTAATGTGATAAAGACGGTGTCAGAGGAGAAACGTAAACTCCTTCAACAATTTTTCTAGTCTATGTCTCAATCAGTGACCGAGCACCTTTCTACCATGTACTTCACTGCTCTCGCACGAAAAGCACTTTGCTCCTTGGCTACCTGTAGAAGTACTAAAACTCATATTCATACTAATATGTGAGTTCATCCCTTTGGATGCAGTCTTCGGTATAACATTGGCCAAGCTCAGCGCTGCTACTGCGTACGACACCAGTACAACATAAGTAATGTGCTAGTTAAAAGCAGTCCAAATGGTATTATGGATTCGTTTGTCTACTACTGCATTTTTTAGGGATTGTTCAAAGAGCTAGAAATACAAAGTGCCCAGATTGAGGATGTGCTACAACAGGGCCGTATTCACTATGGCGAGGAGCGATACGATCCTGCGGTGAGTGTCGACTCGGAACATGAATCAGACGGATCAGAGGGAGCCGCTCTTTCAGATACCGCGCCCAATTCACTACCGGGGAAAGATGAGCACTCCAAACGTACGATTCGTCGAATCCGAAGGCATTTATACCATCTTCGGAAGCGTTGGCTTGCTCTGAACACAAACATGTTAGATTACAAGCAACAGCTGGATTCGGCCTCGGAGGTAGGTTGCACGTGTTATACAGTTAATGGGACGGTATTTCATGCAGTAAGCCACAGTCTTGTCTATGCGACTCCTATGGTACCATCGTAACTTTCGAGAATTTTAGTAAATACACTCCACCTTTCAAATGTTAGAGCGTTCGGTCAGCCTGGTGGCTTGGTTTCACCTATAATCGTGGTGACAATATCGGTGTGCATTTATCAGTAGTTTTATTACAAAGTCTGGCACTTGACAGGTTATGGTTCATTTAATCATTTTCTTTTTTGGAAGCACCTTCTTCATACGAAAATCGGGCCTTGAGCTCATGCACAGCGTGTCATCTCCCCTTCATCCATTTTATTCATCGTTTCTTTTGGTGGATTCCGATCAGCGGTTGTCCAATTTCCAATCAATGTTCAACGAGGCAGTGGAGCAGATCAGAAGTGCCCACTCGGTTACCACACGCTGGGTGCCAGTGGATTGTCTCCCGATGGATCGCATGCGGTCTGAGTTGGAGCAAGCACAAGTGAGTCCACTGTATCAGGTGTACCTTTTCACCCTGACACTCGTAATGTTTGGTCGATAGTCGCACCTGAAACCGAAGAGTACACACATATAAATCAGGCATCAGTGACACTTTTCTTTCAGTCAGCTTCCGTAGACAAAGCACTAAAGTTTGTTTGCCTGGAGTGACTAAGTATTTTCTGTGCGTGGCATCGCGTGATATGCGTTAAAGCGGTGAGTAACGTTAAAAGCTGCGGTAGATTTCCGTTTAACAAAGGATGCGTTAAAGCCACACCCTTATGCATGTTTACAGATAAATGCCAAATAATGTTCTTAAAGAGTAGTCTTACGCATTTCTGCCCCTCGACTTACTCAAGCTTAGTCCGATGGAAAGTCAAATTTATTGCATTATATTCAAATCCTGTGAACTGAGTGTCGATGTTTTTTGATACTTCCCCGAGTCCCGCTGCTTAGGGCTTAGCTGTACAAGCACACCAATGTGAACTTCAAATTCCATTGGAATAATTCATATTGTCTTGTTCATCGGAAGCACTCATTGATACGCTTTTATTATAGATGCATTACATCAAAGTATGAATCGTCGGACAACCGTGAAGTTGTTTGCTGGCTGCACGACTGCTGGCTGCATCGACTGCTGTCGCGTGTGAATTTGTCACGACTCAGCGTGTCACCTGGTCCATTTCAAACTAAAACACCAACCTTCCACTGACATGGCAGTGTGGTCACCTTGACGTAAATTTCAATGATGATTTTTTGCGAACGCGGCACGTTCAACCGGATTAGGCACAGTCCACTGAGTTCAGCCGTGGCCACTCAGCTCATCTGTTTGGAAAATGAATCCGAATCAGCATAAAGCGTAGTTAGCAACTGTTTCATGTCAACAACGCATCAGTGATTGGTTACACGAAATTGCAGAAAGCGAGTTACCAAGTCTACTGAAGCTGTGCTTCAGTGCTCCTTTGGTAGTAAAAGACTACCCCTTCAACTGCGTGTTATCCCATTTGTCACGTAGCCCTCAGAGCGCAAAAAGTCAAACTGGACTTTCATCAAACATCTTTCTGGCGCGAAAGCGACCCATTTTTATATGATATTCATCGCAAGTCTCGTCCGTTAATATGATCTGTGATTTCTTCGTGGGATGGTTCACGTTGGCAGCACTGAGTTCACACGTCTACGGAGCTCGAACTGCGCGCCTCACCGATTCTCACCAGTGCGTACGGGCGGTTCCTGGGCCAGTTGGTCACTCGTCTTTGAGTTGTAGCTTGATTGCATGCCCTCAAGCGACACCATCGGAAGCACGAGCAGTCGCAGTCGCATATGCACTTTGAACACACCTCACGGCACACAGAATGTATGCGCCTCGTATGATCCAGTCAGTGTGGCCTGCTTTCATTGTTGCTCCCGTTTGTCACACGTTAGCGGTCAAACACCTCATGGCATGGGTGTGACAGTCTGTCTCACATCGGTGATTCTCTTTTGTTCGTTCGATCGGACGAAGGGCATGTCGACATGCACTTTGGCACACCCGACAGGCAGCACAGTAATTATGCTTCTCGTTAGGTAAGCATCAGAGAGGTGCTATCTAAAATGGTGACACAGCTAACCGATTTGTTATAAGCTACCATAGCTTCTAAAGCCTGTCCTATAACTTAGTGACACAAGTTACTGATATCCGAAAGTCATGGGGTCGGAACCCCGCAGAGCTCCGAGGAACGGGCACCAATAACGAAACTCAGGTCAAAACGGCCGTCTGGTGCTTTCCCGGATGTGTGAGAGCTTGCCTGACTTCGAGGAGACTGCGACGAAGGGGAACTAACGCACACAGCCCGAAGTTACTCAAGGAAATTTCTGCTCACTCGCTGGGTGCCCACTGACCCCACGTGGCTAGAACAGCGACAGAAGCTCTGCTGTAAACGTTGACGCCCAACAGGCCATACGCTTCCCTACCATGAAGAGAGCTGAATTGGCAAAGTTTAGTCGAAGTGGCTTGTCCCCAAACTGTTTGCTTTGTCAACTTTGCTTTAATATCATGGTTCTCGCCTGCTCAATGCCCTTCGTCAAAAACTAGCATTTACAGCAGCTTTGCTTGTAAATGCATGTTTGATACGATTGCCTAACCCCGTCGTGGTCGGTCTCCCCTTAGATCACGAGCTCCAACTCATATTTTAGACATCAAGCCAGTGGCCTCCACACTTTGTGTACAGATGACCCACAATCAAAATGCGGGCGATTGTCATAAGAACTGCGGTGTTCCGCCGTCAACGGGGTGCAATGCTTCTCACTTCCCCATCACATGCTATCGCACGGCGCCTTGATCGAACTGTAAACATTTTTACGGAGACTAAGGACATACACACTTGGAGCATGAATCGTTCATTCGTAAGCTGGTTTTTGGCCGAGAAACACCACATAAATAAGAAGGATGAATGTTAGCTTGCGCGAAGGAAGTGATCGCTGTTCCCATACAGGGCCATCTGCACCAAACGCATTGGCAATGTCATACCCAAAGCTACCTACCGGTGGAAAATGAACAATTCCGATGTTTTTCGGAAGCATCCATCCTTACTCGATAGATACCCTACAGTCGGTTGAAAGTTTCCTTCAAAAGCTGGCTTAAAACTGGAATTCACTGAGTTCCACTTTCCCTAAAATCTTTGTGCTCTGCACGCTGGCAAAACTGACCGGCCATTTTCTTCGCTTCTCGAATTTGTTACCAATGACAATAGCGTATATTTCTTAATATCACGAAATGAAACACCCTCGAAAAGAGTTACGCACTATCCCTATCTGGAAGCGACTAGACGCTCAGATTAAAAAAAATACAGTTACACGATTGCGGAAAAGCTGCATACTTGGCGCGTTTTTCGTTCGAGTGTTGTTGGACAAGTACCAAATTCCGATGGAATGTTGGCACGCCTGTCAGTCTGAATTGATTTTCCTGACCCACCTAGAAACAAAACCACTTCCAACATCGCCATCAATATCCATATTTTGTGTATGCCAACATTTTCGAAGACCGAAGCGGAAGAATAAAAGTGCAACAGGCCAAACAGTCAACCTCAACTGCACCGCAGCAGTATCTCATAACTGTGTATAGCATCGTAAGCGATATTTTAGAGATATCACTTCCTAAAGTAATCTAACCACTAATATGCCAAAACACATATATTATATACATTTATCCACAAGTCTGCGAACAGACAAATGTGTTGTCAGAAGCATGGGATTAACACTATGAAAAAATGATAGTTCAAAAAGAGAAGGAGAAATGGATCTTTTTTCTTGGTGTTTCATACACGCCGTTTTGCGTCTCTTGTTTGTGAAAAACAGAAATTTGGTTTAAAGAGAAACTTGAAACAAATAGTTCCCTTGAGCATTTTAAACAACCCTGTGGGAAGACGAAAGCTGGCAGATGTTAACACTTCGTGTTGTCTCGTCAGTGCCACTACAATAACAAGAAATATATATATCTACAGCTAGGGTGTGACCGGATAAAATAGAGACAGGATGGGATACAGATATGCCAGCCCTACGTCCATGAGAGCTTTAAGCTTACAAACAGCTGTTTTTGCACACAGAGTGCCGGTTTGATCCTGCTGATCGCGACAGCCTCGGCGAAATGTAGAATGCGGGTGTTAGCATGTCTCAACAAGATTTTGAGTTGTGTGGCAGGGTCGAATGGATGACAAATGGACAATAAGTGTCTACCTATGGATGAGGCAAGTGGTTTTCATGAACAGTTGGTAGATGAAGCGGAAGACTGGATAATTACATGCTGCACCCACTTAGGTACATGTTCCCTTACTCTGGAATTCAACATTCTCTCGGTACGGCCTATGTAGCGTGACACGCAGCTACAAGTGAATTGGTTAATGCAGTGTGAAATGGCGCCGAAAGGTTGCCTTTCCTTCGTTGAGGGAACAGGCACTTTGTTCGTTCGGTTAATAAGGACAGCTTCCGCAGCATAATAAGTCCTATGAACAGCGGAAATTAATCGCTTGCTTGTCCTCCTGTTGGTAAAATCACCTTTAAACAGTAGTTCTATAAAGATCTTCTTTTTGGCCACAGTGGGGACCTTCTATCTCGCCACTTTTGTGTGACTATGTTTTGCGATAAACCGGTAAGGAAAACCGTTTTTCAAGAGCGCATTAATCAACAGCTTCTGTTCCTCTTTCAGGCAATCGGGGCTGCACATTCTTCTTGTGCGATTGAACAAGATCTTGACTAGTGTCCGCTTGTAGCGCATTGGAGTGAAGTCGGTAAAATGCAGGTGCTGCCCGGACCATGTCGATTTTCGGTAAATAGATCGCTTAATGAGATCGTTTTCCTTACCACTAATCAGCACCCAATAATGGGAGACAGTTGTTATATTCTAATTCTCTGGTGACTCTAAAATTTGTGTGTACACTATTAAAAGTTCGATGAGACGTGCAATCTCTGTTGTTGATGACGAGAACACTAAAATATCGTCCACGTAGCGTTTGTAGTAGAAAAGGCAGGAAATTTCTGCACTCATCTTTGTCTCCGCCATGGATATGAAGAAATCCGCTAATACTGGACCCAATGAACTCCCCATTGCTACGCCATCTATCTGGCGGTATGGGGTGCTTAGAAAGTGGAAAGTGATATTTCAGTGCAAAGTAACAGGGTGTCTTTCAACAGCTCAGTTGGCATTGGAAGAAATAAGCTTATCCCTCGTCGAACTTTTTAATAGTGTACACACAAATTTTAGAGTCACCAGCGAAGTAGAATATAACAACTGTCTCCCATTTTTGGACGCTGATTAGTGGTAGAGAAAACGGTCTCATTAAGCGATCTATTTACCGAAAATCGCCATGGTCCGGGCAGTACCTGCATTTTACCGGCTTCACTCCAATGCGCTACAAGCGGACACTAGTCAAGATCTTGTTCAATCGCACAAGAAGAATGTGCAGCCCCGATTGCCTGAAAGATGAACAGGAGCTGTTGACTAATACGCTCTTGAAAAACGGTTTTCCTTAC